CCAATTAATCTTCTAAAATTGTCTGATTATTTCTTTCCTGACTTAGAGTTATGTTTATTATGCCATATTATTAAATTTTTTCTAAAATAACAATAATTTTGAAATTTTTTTGAATCTAAGATTTTTAGATTGACATTTTTTTCATTATTTTTTAACTCGTATGTCTTTTAAGCTATGAACATTATTTATTAACTAATTGTACCTTATAGTAATTCTCAAATTAATTTAAATTCAATATTTTCTTAGTAATTCAAATTACTCTTAAAAAGGAAATACTCCAAAAATTTCATCACATATTTGCTCAAAGAAACATCCATTTATTAACAAGTGAATCTATTTTTACGCATTAATAACAAATAACAGCAAAATAATATTACTCTTAAATATATAAAAAAACAAGATCAATATTATTTTATTTTAAATATTCTAAAGTATTTAATTATTGAGAATGCTTTGTTCAAATTAAAAAATTACTTGATTTAAGCTTATCAATTACTCTTTGGATATAAAAAATATAGAGAAGAAATTATATTTTATTAATGATTGTTTATTGAGTTAACCATGTGCAGGGTGAGATTTGGTTAAAAACATGAAAATACTAAATTTGGAAAGGATATTTTGAATTTATGATAGACAGATTAAATTAAACATCAAAAATAACTTTTGTGAACAGAATTCAAAATAATTTTAGAGTTCCAGAAGAGCAAGAATAATATATTATGATAAAAACCTCCTCACAATAATTGAACAATAAAAACGATGAAAAATCTTGTAATGAATAGCAGTCTAGGCTTAATTATGGATTTATTTATATCCTTCCAATATCTAATGGTATTATATTTATTATTAGTATTTTAGAGATCTAAAGGCTTAGTTATTTTTCTAAACACTTCTTCATAATACTAGTTAATATAAATTAGAGTAAGCCTTGATAAATAAATCAAACTTAAATTTAGATAAATTTAATCGATTACAATTTTTTTCTAAAAATTAGAATCATTTTTTTATATATGATTGGGTATATGTAATGCAAACATATTCTAATGGGGTTTTTTTTGCTACAATGAAATTGAAACCCTAAAGGATTTGATGAATAATTAAGTACTTTTCAAGTGCTTAATCTTTTTGATTGAAGTCTTTAAATGAAATTAGATGAGGATTCTAAATGATTAAGGAGAGAATGAAAATTGATTCTATAGTTTAGTTGAGCTAAATTACTCAATAAGTAATATTTTTTGATTTTTTTTGAAC